AAAGCTTGTTAAGAACCGGCTGTGGGGAAACCAGTTCCCCAGTTGTTACCATAAGGAACCTGGACTTTTGCCTTAGTCCTTCTCTGCCTTCATACACGGGGAGTTGAAGGTTTCTGGAGGCGGTTAGCATCTGCCACCCAGATTTAGTTTGTTTCACGTTGATTTCTAATAAGCTAGAAACATGATGAGAGCAGTAAGGAGCAGTGTGAGTGCCAAAACATCTCCATTACTTTCCGACCAGCCACTGCAATTATTTGACATGGTTTTGTCATATTGTTAGTCTGAAATGTATTTCCTCTCCAGGTACTTTGTGGAAATCTCAAATTGACTTACAGGATGTTGTGACAAGCAATATGTCTTACCAGTCCTATTCAAGACATCAAGGCTCCTGCATTTTGAACCTCAGTTATCCAACCCTTTCAGGTTGCGTTGGGCATACAACAGTGCTAATGAACCTTGAAATAATAAGAAATGAAAATTCAGCCTTTTTAAAAAAAAAAAAAGAAAAAAATTTTATGAAACAGGTTTGTGCTTACAGGGGTTTCCACTGCCATCAGACAGGCCAGCTCATTGAAAGATGTTTCCCATAGCTTGTACTGTCACTCCCTGTTTTGACTGATAGTTTTATTTTACTGTATTCTAAGAGCAAGTGTCAGCATTCAAACCCAGATGATACTTGCTTCATGTTAATACCTTATTGTAGCAGATGGCGGTGGGTGTCAGGGAGCTGCTGAAAACCACCATGTTTATTATGTCTTCTTGGCACAGAGTAGCTAATGTGTTCCTGCTGGCAGTGCTTCCCAAGGGAGGAGATAGATGCAAGTTAGGATATTCAAAACGTGCTGTCACAGCCGTGTTCTTGCCATGCATTGTGTGCTCTTGTGTTTGATTGTAAGGAAAGATTTTGAGATGTGCTGGTTAAACTCAACTTGGAGAAGGTATGTCTATTTCGAACAAGACTGAAAGTGAGGAAGAATGAGCACAGCTAGTCAACTCGCTCTACCTTTGTGTTTTTCAGAGATGGTAGAACTGTGAGTTGTCCCATGAATCCTATGATCAGTGTCTGCGATAACTGAAAACAAATTAACAGAGGCAGGGTTCCTCAGGAGTCGTGTTTCTACAGGGCAGCACAAAGATGCTGGAAGTAGCGTCAAACTTGGCTCAGGTATCACTGCAGGAGTCATTCTGGAGGCTCAAGCTGCCAAGGTGCTACTGTTTGAACTATTGCTGAAACCTAACTAGGTAAGCTGCTATCATGGGTGCAGCTGTGTTGTATTCCTTTACATTTGAAGTTGGCAGATAAAATGAATCAGAACGCTTATTCTGAATTTTATGTCACTAAATGTGTGAACAGAATTGTGTTATTTTTGATTGGACTTACTATGTGGACATGCTTTTAAACAACAATGGGAATGAATCTGCTTTCAACAGCAAGAATTTTTTTGAAGGTTCTGTATAAAGGCAATACTGTTAATAGGCTTATGAATCTTACAGTAGAAGTGATGAGTAAAACAAATGGATGACAAAAGCGTTCAGCTTGATTGACTATACTGTAGGTTTGGGGGGAGTTCAAGAACCTCACCGACTCAGGTGCGAAGGCTGATGTTGCATGTAAAATGGGAGGGAGCGGTAATGAAAGTTCAACTTTCTTCGTTAGCTCTGCTGGTGCCAGCACATCCTCTGGACTGTAATAGAGGAGACCCTGCACCCCTCTCCTGCTCCTAGCCTTATAGTCACTCTTGTCTGTTTCAATGCCTCTGGCCTGGTGAGGAGCTTGATGGCAGATGAAAGTCAGTGTAGACAAGTGTGAGATGTCTTGCATTGGAAGGAACAACTTTAAATTACTTGCACACATTGCTGGGTTCAAAATAACTACTCGGATGAGGGGAAGACTTTGGCATCATTATGAACACATCACTGAAAACATCTACTCAATAGAGAGCAGCGGTCAAACGAGGAAAGAAATTTCTTCTCTAACCCCAATGATCAGTTGATTCCCTGGAGCAATGGAATGGATAGTGTGTGTGGGGGGGCAGGTTTTCACCCAAGTATGTATGGTTGGACACAGCTCACTGAAAATTGATGACATGAGCTTGCAGTGTGAAATCCAGTTGCTTTTCCTTCATGTTTTCGGGTCTCCTGCAAAACTAACTCATTGTATCACATAATTAAAAAATCTGAGAGCTTCCATGCAGGAAAAGATTATGAATATTCAGGGTGACTTAAAAACAAGCAGAAAACAACCCCTTGTCCTTTGTATGATGATAGAAACAGCAGCTCTTTTGTTCTTGAAGCCAGCAAGTTTATCTTAGGGAAACTGAGGTACTGTATGTGGGAGTATAACTATCTAGAAAGTGGGAACAATTAAACTTACTTTGCTTTTATTTGGAGGTGAAACAATGAAGTTATAAGAGGCAAAACTCTTTTTGATGTTTCTTAAAGGCTTGGCTTTACTAATGTTTCCCATTAAGCTGAAAGTGCATGAAATATTTTCACATGGGCTGCTTTGGGATTAATTTTTTTCCTTCTTCCCTTCAACAGACTAAGACCTAGTGGGAAGTTAATTATTTGGGCCTGTGACTATTTCTCTTATTCACTTAGGAACCTGACACATCGTAAGGTGGATTGTTAGATACCACAAGGTATAACAGAATGAAAGGGTTAATATAGTCTCTGATTTTATGACAGCTCTGGAGGGTACATGAAAGCAAAATGATATTTATTAATTCTTCCTTTGGAAGAATTGCTGGCTCAGTCTGGTGCATGTCTCTAGTATTTTACTGTGTGCACAGTGCTATAAGGAAAAAAATGTGATGACAACTTTGCTACCTACTTTAAAAAAGAGACTTTAGCTGTAGGCAATGAAAATCAATCAGATGAGATCACCCTTCTCCTTCAGCTGATTGGCAGTAGTGATGAAAAGAGCTCAGGCCCCCAAATCAGCTTCTGATGTTGAAAGAGCTTCAGTGCCAGGAAGACCTAAAGCTACTGACACAAAGCTTTTGTTTTCTTGTTGATTCCAGCACATCCTTAGCTTTGGTTATGAAAAACTCAGGAAAAATCTTAGCGTCTTGTGGACTTGCTTGAGGAAATTTATGTGGTGGTAGGATTCCTAGTGTTCTCCTGAACCACTTGTCACATGTTCCTGCCTCTCCCTCTTTGCGTGGAGTTGATGTATACTCGAAGCCACCTTAGCTCCTGGGGGCTTCAGAAAAATAGCCCACAAGTTTCATATGTAGCAGGGAGAAATTTTGGATGTGTGCTGGGAGAACTGGTTACCTCCTGTAACCTCAGCAATCCTTTTCTTTTCCTGGAATGACATCCTGCTCCAGTGGTGAGAATTTAATGACCTAAAAGTGTTGGAGCTATTGTTTTTCCACAGCTCTGTTCAAGAGTAAAAGATGTCTGCGTTAAAGGCTTATGTCTCATTACGTGGAAGGAAAAGGATGTTAGTTAATCCAGTGGCTGCTCCTCTTTTTCCTCCCTTTCACTTGTGTATGATACCCTGGTGGCAGCATGGGGCTGGTGTGGGAGGGGGAAGGTCCTGACCTCGCAGAAGTTCCCAGATGCTTCCCTTGAGGGAGAAAGCAGAGCTATGCAAACACACAAGTATTGCCTGTGATCATTTCCCCTCCTTTTCTCTCTGCCCTCACTTACTTTTTTTTTTTTTTTTTTTAGTTTTCTGTTTTAAAGGGCCTGAATACCACCTTTTAAATTTTTCGGTTTCATGCGGGATTCTGGAAGGTCCTCTGTGGGAAAATCTGGAGGGATCTGTGGGAAAATTACAGCAGGCCATTAGCCTCTTAAGTGAAATTTGTTTGCAAAAACATGGGAATTTTCTGTGTGACAGTATTTCACACCTCCATGTCAGTGGAAGATACTGCCTGTAGAAAGTGTCCGTGCTTTAACTGAAATCTTGGTGGGTTTAACTCCCTTTTCTCTACCTTTTAATAAAAAAAAAAAAGTGAATTACTGGTGGTCCATGGAGACCTGACTGCTCACACAATGCTGACTCCTGCTCTGTGTATATATTGCTGAAACATATTATGTTATTTCTATAATGTTGTAGTGTATTACTTTTCTGTGTAAGTAATTGCTGTGGTTGCCTCCTGAGCTTTTGGAAATCTTAAGTGGGTGGAGAAGCGCTAGTGAAACGCATTGTATAATAAGTTGTGAATCATACTATGAATAAGTTTGTGAGGCTTTTGCTTTAGAATGTAAAATCAATACCTGGGCCACCCACAGGTCATCATTTTCATGCAGTGCAAAGTTTAAAAGGTGCAGTAATTGAACGACTGCTCTCAGGAGAAGTTAATGGCAAATCTTTTTTTCAACAGACTTGAGCAAAGCTCTCCTGCCCTGATAAGGTATCAGGGAGCTTGCTGAGAGGGGGCTTGAAAATTCTTGCTGCTTTAGAATGAGCCAGTGTTGAGTTTCAGTTTAAAATAAGTTGGAGGTATTGTAAAATATTAGAACACTATCTTATGCTTTGCTAAGGTAAAAAGCAGCTATATACTTTTAATCTGAATGTTCTTTTCATAGCAAAAGAATTCAAGAAGTAGAAAAATCTTTATTGAAGGGATGAGATTGAATGTTTTAGTAAACTTAGCTCTGAAAACTTTTACAAAAATCTTATTATGCTTTGAGGTTTTCATAAAGGCTTGTGTGATTAAGTCAGTCTGGTCTATTTAGAATGAGAGAATGAGGTGTGTGTGTGTTTTTTTTTTTGGACAACGTTCTACAGTGTTCCCTGTTGCATCATCTAGCTGACTTGTTTGGTTTGATTCCCCCCCCCCTCCTTGCTTTGGCTGCCCTGAGCTTAAGCTGATGGGAGTGCTGTACTTAAAATATTCCATGCATGACCTTAACAAAAGGACTGTTCCCTGACTGTAATATGGTACAGTTCAGGAAAAAATTAGGTCTGTTTCTGATATTGTGCTACAGTTTGCTCAGTGAAAAACTAGCTGTCAATTACTGTCCCCACAGGCCCCAACATACCAGTGGAACTGCATAAATATACTGTGTGGTTGGAGACTTCAGTCTGACTAGGCCGTATTCCTAGAAGAGTTTCTGCCCTGAAGTGAAAGGTGACTGAACACAGATGCCCGCTCTTTTTCTTAATCTCCAGAATCTTTGTCGATGAATTGACTTCCTAGCTACATTTTATCCAAAAATCATTTGCTAATTATACTCTTCTATTTTTAAATATTTATATTTAAATATAAATAAAAAGCCAATTTATAGCCTAGCTTCCATCTTAAGCTATAGTATCAGGGAGGTAGGTGTTTCATTATTTTGACTGTTCTGGACAAGTTTCTTAGTAACATCCCCAAAGGGCAACTGGAGTGGCATGCATACGGTGAGAATTTGTAAACAGGTCAGTTGATGACTTCCCTGTATGATAAATGCCAGTTAGGTAACTAATTTAGAGTTGTTCAATATAATGAGTTGCTTCCCTCTTTCATCACTGAATGCTTTCTGTTGCATTACCTGAACTCGCTGGTACATTGCTATAACTCGTTTAGATGTAAAAGTGCATTGTCATCAACAAAAATGTTAGGTTTCTCTGAACATCTTGGGCAGCCAGTTTATGTAATGTGAAAGAATAACGGTCCTCTCCAGCCGGACTCTACAGGTAGCCAATTTCAGTGAGGGCTGAACAAGTTAGTGCACCATCAAGTAAAGTTCTTCTGATTTTTGTTTTCAAAGATAAGATTGATATAGCTGCAAGAACATCATCCAGAAGATAGTGCTGTATCTCATTCTCCTGTCAAAAAGCAATATGGGGCAGCAGGCTGTATCAAAGCTATGCCAGAGCATTGCTATCTAATGGTTCCTCTGATCATTGGATGATTTTTAAGACTCAGTGATTTCCTAAAAGAGCAGGTAAAAAGAAAGAGCTATGAAAATAGCTAAGGATGCCATTACTGGTGTTAGTATTCAGTGTTAATAGCTTTCATGCTCATCAGTGAGTCTGCAGTTTAAAGCAAGAACATTTTTCAAATTGAAAACTTTATTTTTTCACTGTTTTCTCACCAATATTTTCTTACTTCCCCAGATTAACACTGTAGGATGCACAAAACAAGCATGTAGCTGGAAGACTGGTCAGCTACTACTGCCAACTTTGGTGAGTTGCCTTTTATTTCTGACCTGGAATCAATTACAGGGCTGCATGCATTTGGTTGGCAGAGATGACCTTTAGCGAGGCCCCTAACCCCTTACTGGTAACAAATGCGGAAAAGAACAACAAGAATTATATTGGATCCAAATTATAGGGGGTATAAGCCGGAGAATGAAGTGTTGCTCTATGGTGAAGAGAATTCATAATCAAATTCAAATCCAGTAATCGGGTCACCCAGCAAGCCCTGCTAGAAACAGTGTTTAACCTCAAGCTACAGCTTACAAATGCAGTATATAGCTAAAAAGCATGCAGTATACCTTAAAACTTATGCTGCAGCTTGAGGGAAGTGAGAGCCTGCTTATAGCATGAAAGAAGTCATCTTTATTTCTCTTCTTAATTTTAAAGAAGATATTGTAGGAGTGTGACCAACCTGAAGTGCTGAGTGATCCCTCACATGCAGGAAAATATATATTGAGAGTGCAGTTGTACGTAGTAGGCTGTCTCTGTAACCTGCAGGGAGTGCAAAGGGAGAGCAGCAGATGTGTTGCCCTCCTCAGAAGATGCAGTTTTCCCCTGTACAAGAGCAGGGCTAGCTGGCAGAGGCAGCGCACCTGCAAAAAGACGCGGGCTTTGCAGGGCACCTGCCTGTGGTGGGGTGAGGGCAGCAGAAGTGTTAACTCCAGAGTGCTCGGCACTGTGGACTCTGATCTACAATACGTGATCTTGCAAGGATATTGAACTAAGACACCATTTATCAGTGGGATTTCTTATATAAAATTCTGAGATGATTCAAAAAGTCTAGGCTTGTCTGAGCTCTCACAGGTGTCAGACTTTGCTAGTTATTCCTCAAGGCAACTGGGCACAGTTTTCACTCAAAGGTATGATCAAAAGATTCATCAGAGATGCTCTGGTTGATTGCCTGACAGATGAGCTAATATTTTTACAGGATTTGGTTTTAGATTTTCTGGATGTGATCCATTTCCAGCCATTAAGGCACTCTTCAGTGAGGCATTATATGCATCCTAAATGAAATATTGATCACTTTAACATTACTTGCTTTACTCTTTCATAAATTATTTTTATAATGCAGAGGTTTATGTTTTGGAAGAAGGCGTAATAGGGGAAGTGGTATTTGGCAGTAGATGCCCCCTGTTTGAACTGTGGGCCAACTCTTGCTGGATGGTTACACTCTGCTTCTCAAACCTCCTTGTGTGTTAATGTCTGCATATGTTAGTGATCTGTGAATAGTCATCCACAGTGAAGCTAAAATGGACAACCTTGACTGTTTTTAAAACACTTTTTGACTACATGCTTCTAAAAACAAAATGATTACCACTGCTTTCATAAAGGTGATTGTTTTGTACTTTAGAGATGAACCAAAGGTTAACCTGGAATTATAAAGATCACTATAGCATGATGTTTCCATCTATTTAGAAAATGTTCTGGGAAGAATGTTCTGCATAAAATCAAACATTTGTTCTTTGATTTAGAGATCTTACTTTTAACTTAATGTTTTTATGGCTTTAAATAAATATATTAAACTCAATGCTGTCATCACTGTCTTGAAATGGCCTTATTTTTAGAGTGTTTCTTTTAATTGGGGGCTAGATAGGATATCAAATTAAGCTCTCACTGAAGACTTTAAATTGGGTACTGAACAATTATTTTTGAAAAACCTGTAGTTTATGACAGGGATTGTGGTCCAGGTTGATAAGAGAGGAGAAAAATCAATTTAGACCTTTTCATATTTGAATTCATTAAATTGGACTTAGTCTATTAAAAGAACAATTAATTTATGGCAGCCAATATTATGGAATTGCATCAGGAGAAAAAAATGCAAGGTAATAATGATAGATTAATCAAGGTACATGGATGGAACTTACTACCTTGAGTGATACTAATTTTATATTCCATTAAAAGATTGTAGTTAATAGAGAGCCCAAGGATCAGGATTTGAACTGATAGATCCCTCTATTCACTTTAACTCTATATATTGCAAATAAGGATTTGGCACTGATGTGGTACTGAAAAGTCTTAAATGAAGTTCATTTTTATTCTTTGAATAAAATTTGAGTAGGTCTTTAAGTACATTTTTGTCTCCTGGCATACTTTGTACTGGTACCTAAAAGCAAGGTTTAGTCAGAACTATTTATATGTAATTCTGTGGTTAATGCACCAGACATTTTGGAAAAATGTATTACTATCTGCGTGTTTCCTAGGTCTGTTGAGAGCAGAGCAAGCAATTAGCACCTGAGAGATATTCCCTTTTAGTGTCTAGTTTTTCAGAAAGTGTTTACTGTGGTAGGTTAAATGCTACCATTTACTATATGCTCTTAAACAGAGTCTTTAGTTGTTGCATTGGTGGCCCACGTATCATGAGGCACTTGCAGCACGCTGTGCCCCAAACTTTGAGTTTAGGGATACTGAATATTTCAAGTCAGTTTTTACTGTCTAGAGTGAAAAACAGTGAGTAAGATGCTAGAATTCCTCAGTTAGCATGGTCAAAGTATTGTAAATCCAAAGGAAAATCTTCCTATGACTTTTGTTGTTTTCACAGTCCTCCCTGAGACAGCTGAAAAGGAACCCAAGTAGCAAAGTTTTTTTTGCAGTTAAGATAAGCATCTTTGAAATTCAGACTAATATTTGGTATGGTGAAGAAAAAAATGGTTATGTATGTGGACCCAGGTAGCTTTTAATGATGTAGCCTGGATACTGTTGTAATGGTGCCACAGCGGCACGCCTGACATCTGTGATGCGCTCAGACTGACCTCTATCACTAGGGACAGTGATGAAAAGGAAAATAGATTTTTGAAATTCATTTTTTAATTTCTATGAAACCATAGGTGCATTGTTGCTCCTGCCAAAAACTGCATTTGCCCACCAGTCCTTTTGATTTAATGTAGTCATGAAAAGAGCCAAAAGAAGCATCCAGCTGCAGAATGGCCTAGCTGTGGTGACATGGGGCCCTGCTCAGGCTGCCTGAGAGGTGCAGAGTTGGTGCCTATGCCTGCATGGTCTCAGGCGCAGCAAGGTTGGGTACCTTGATGGCACACGCTAGGAAGTGCATTTTGCATTGTAGACTCCCTCACAGACTGGATCTTTCTGTGGTTCCATCGGAGATGGTTATAACCAAATTGATATCAACAGGATGTGCATACCTGCATGTGCCTGGTAGGATTTTGTTCAGAAAAGAATGGTAATAAATGCTGAGTTTCAAGTGAACTAAAACTGAAATTAATTAAATCTATGCTTTCTCTTTTTTCAACATGACAGAAAAGGCACTGGGATTGTTATGAACTGGGATGGTTGCTTTGCTTTTTTTAAATGGACCACAGTTGTGTGCATGGGTACCTAGTATAGAAAAAAATAATCCTTCTAAAATTAGATGCACAGACTGGAAAAATAGAGCTTCATGGCTTAGTCTCTCATGCCAAAGGTCATGGCAACATACTGGTCATAGTGTACCTGCTATGCAAGTGTCCTAGCTTTCAGGATTAGTGGAATATTTGCTTCAATTGAAATGATCACTGTTCACTTAATTAAAGGATTCCCAATTCCCTTGCTGCTGTAAAAATAGGTGCTGTATCTCCTGGGGCTAATATGAAATTGCTAAATACTGATGATCTGTGGTAAGCTTGCTGTTCCAAAACCAATAAAATAGCTGTAGCAATGGCAAGCTAACTGATCATAAAGTCTTTGGTTACAAATGAATTGGATAAGTAGCTTTTTTCAGTGCCATGCATGTTCCAGCCCTGGCTTGACTCAAGGAAGGTTGAAAGATCCCATTTGGCTCAACGAGTGGAACTGCCATGGCAGGGCCCGGAGGTCCTTTTAGGGGTGTGCTGGTGTCTGGCTGGGCCTTGATAAGGTCTGATCCGTTTTGCAGGCATACGGAACAAGGCTAACAGCCTGTCAGAGGCCTCTGCTAGTTATTTACGTTCTCTCTGGTTGTCAGACAGAAAATCAAAGGCGAAAAGAATTCTCATATGCGTGTCCCTTAAAAGAGAGAGAAATGTCATATGCACACAGAGGTTTCAGCTGAGACCAATCTCTTGTGGTACTACTGACAGTGGTATTAAAGCACACAAACAGTCCTCTCAGTTATAACAGTTATTGTTTCTAATTCCTTCTCCTCCCCCTTATCAATGGGACTAGTTCAGAAACTTGGTCAGGAAGGTAAAAGCGAAGGTGTGAGGTCCACTTCTTGTTCTGACAGTGGTGAGAATCGCTGCCCAGCCTAATCCCTTGCAGAAGCAAATGTCCCAGTTGCAGCCAGCTGCTAAGAGCGTGATTTCCCATGGCTGTGAATCCCAGCCTTTGGCTGGCGGTTTGCTGCTGAGCAGCAGAGCTGTTGTGGGAAGGTGGTGGGGCAGCCCACCTTTCAGGTGGCTGAGGACAGGCGTTGGAGATTAGGTCTGTTACTCTGGATTTGATTTACGTTGAAAGGGAAAGCTTTCAGCATAGCGCCTGAGGCCTTGGAGAATGTACTCTTGGTGACCTGCAGTGAATCTGTGGCATAATATGGCCAATAGTGTACAATGGGCAAAGCTGTGCTGAACTGAATGATGCAACAAAAAGCCTTTATGCTCAATAGGAAAATTGGATGAGGAGCATTACACTAGCATAGGTTTATCTAAAATCAAGGAGCCGCTCATTGCCTCCAAAGAGAGCAAGAGGAGGAAGTGCAAGAGTAAGAAAGCTTTTTAAATCCAGAAGGAAAAAAAGACAAAAGTTGGGTTTCTGACTTGAGACCTATTTCAAGATCCCAAGTACCTCTAAGCCATCAAATCACCCATAATCTTTGCAAATCTTCTGAACATGGCAAAGGTGTGGTGAGTAAAAAGAAAAGATTTTTTTGTTGTTGTTTAATGTCTTATTTGCTGTTTAACTAGATTCCCAGGCAATGCTCATGAATACCAGGGGATGCTTCATTGTAACTGTTGTTCAGCTGCTTGTTCATCAGCAATTTACAACAGTTTCATGCCATAGTTTGGTTAATGGGGTGT